CGCGGCCCGAGCGCGCGCGCGGCAAGGGTCCAGGGCCTCTAAGTACCGCGCCTGCCAGCACAAACGACACGTGTGTCGCGCCTGCCAGCGTTCCGCGTCACACCGCGTCATATGCGTGATGTGATGCGTGATGTGCGTTACGTCATGTGCGTGATATGATGCGGCGTCATGTGCGTGATGGTACGTCATGTGCGTGATCGTGCGTGCTGTGCGTGATTGCGTGACACCGCGTCATGTCCGTGATGTGATGCGTGATGTGCGTGATCGTGATGTGCGTGCTGTGCGTGATGCTGCGTCATGAGGAACAGGAAGAGGAGGACGGGAAGGAGGAGGAGGGAGGAGGAGGAGAAGGAGGAGAAGGAGGAGGAAGAAGAGGAGGCGGGACAGCCCCAAAAGTAAGAACCCCACACAAAGATGTGGGGAAGAAGAAAAAAAGCAGAAGAAGAAGAGAAATAAGAGTAAAAAGAAGCAGAAAAGAAATAAGAAGAAGAAGAAGAAGAAGAGACAGAAGAAGAAACAGAAGTAGAAGAAAACAAAGAATAATAAATAGAAGAAGAGGAAAAGAAGAGAAAGAATAACAACAAGAAGAAAGGGTAAAGGAAGAAAAAGAAGAAGAGAAAGAAGAAGAAGAAGTAGAAGAAACAGAAGAATGATAACATAAAGAAGGAGAAAAAATAAGAAGAAGAGAAGAAAAGAAAGAAGAATCACAAGAAGAAAGGGTAAAGGAAGAAAAAGAAGAAGAAGAAGAAGAGAAAGAATAATAAGAAGAAAAAAGAAGAATAAACAGAAAAAGAAGAAAATAAAGAAGAATGAAAAGAAGAAGAAGAAATGAAAGAATATAAGGAAAAAGAATAAAATAAAGAAGAATAAGCAGAAGAATACTAAAAGAAAGAAGAAGAGAAAGAATAAGAATAAAATAACAGAAAGAGAATAACAAGAGGAAGAAAAATAAGAAGAAGAAGAAGAAGAAGAGAAAAAAGAATAAGAAGAAGAAGAAGAAGAAAAAAATAGCAAAAAAAAAGAAGACAAGTAAGAAAAATAAAAGAATTAGAAAACAAATGAACAGGAAGCAGAAGAGAAGAAAGAACAGGAAGCGACAGCCGAAACCCTATATATATATAATCCTCTACGTGCGCGTGCGCGTGCGCGTGTGCGCGCAGCAGCATCAGTAGCATCAGCGGCTTGCCCCCCCCCCCCCCCCCCCCCCCCCCCCCCCCCCCCCCCCCCCACCCCGTAAGATGGACACTTAAAGGCTACGCTGCACGTGCGTGCCTTGTAAAC